TGCTGCTGCTGCTGCCGCTGCTTGTGTGTTTCTGTTAGAGCCTGGGTTGTTCCAATCTTTACTGGGGACCCAAGCAGCCAAAAGGAATTCGGAGTGGGTTCCACCGACACTCAGACGCGTGATGTCGACTCGAGCCCTCAAGCTTTCGGTGCTGAAAGACATTCAAAGCATTTCTCGCTATCAGGTCTGTAACAAAGGCTCCCAACCTTGCGCCCTCCGCCCTCTATGCCAGCAAACTATGCGATCAGTGCATCGGGCCTCCAAGGAGAACATCCTGGAAGCCTTCTTCGATTGCACGCCCGTGCCTTGCAGTCTCGAAGGGAAAATTTTTCATGGCCTGGTTAGTAAGTTAGGTTCTTTGGAGCATATGCTTGTGCATCCATCAGTGCAGGTACACGGACATGTGTCTGTGCAGAGGGTACAATATTCAGCTTACTAGTGCTACTTGAGTGTGTATGCAAGTTAGCACGCACTGCGTCCCTTCGGGATGCTTTCGACTACAAAACCCAGTAAAGGTCAATTCGGAACTCGATGCCAGAAACGAAGGCTACAAGATAAGCTGCCACACGGCTCCAATGCACAATGACTCGACAATGCTTGACTATTTGCGAATGCGCAGCCCAAGAGCTTTCTGCAGAGTCCAGTAACCCTGCAACCGCGATTTCGAATTCGTAATCCCGCTACGGGTGAACTACTTCTGGGTAGGCTCTACTCGAAACGAAGTCCCGCCCCGGCAATGACCATAATCAAGGTTAATAGCGCAGTACCCACTAGTGCACAAGTGTAATCAGTTGACTGCCAAAGTCATGCATGATACTCCACACAAGTCAGGTCTATGCTACTCCACACCCTAAACCCTGAACCTTGTGGTCAAATCTAAATATCGATAGACTCTCGACTTTATGCCCTGTCAAAGCCTGCCCGTCCTTGCAAAGCGGAGGAAAACAAGCCCTAAGCCCCCGAATCGTCAGAGTAACCGTGAGTAACCTTGTGGTGCTTTCATGATCCTCTGTAGTGACGTCAAATGAAGTTGCAGCACCTCTTATGAGCGGCCCAGGAGCGTGTGAGAGAGGTTTTCGCGAGCATTGCATCTTGTCACTGAAAAGTTCGAAGGCGTTGAGATTGGTTCATGAGGGCTAGGGACTAAGGTTCAGGGTTGTGTAAGGCTTAGGTTTGGAGGAGGGTTTTGGGTCCAACTGATTATGAACTATGAACTTGTGCTGTTAGCCTATCAGGCGCAAGGGTTGGAGTTTTCTGCTTTCACGTCTACGGTGTAAGTAGAGCCTCGCTAGGTTAGTGCACACGTTTGCAAGTGAGGTCTCCAGGGCTTGACTGGCTGCCCTCTGGTGCAATACATGCATAGCCCGTGCGGCCGGAGGCAACAGCGAGTAATTCGAAAAGCATCATGTCCTCCGATGCAGCATGTCGTGGCACAGCGCGAAAACAGTACGGTAAGCCAAAGAACAGACCATGATGTGACGAGAAGTTGCTTTGCCACTATCTGAAGTAGCTCGCGCAAGGCAACGTAACACGTTGTCGCACGAACCGAATGCAATAGGATGAATGCGTATTAACATGGAATAGTGCGGCATCTGGGTAGAGAATCCGATGCCTAGTAGAAAGGACTGGGGCAGAGCAGAATGCACGATGTTACATGCCGGACGGCACAGATGTATGCAGAATTGCATGGTTGTGCGAGACAAGCGTCTAGAATTGCTCATGTGTATCGCCGAACGCTAGTTCTTTGGTCATGATCCAAATCGGGCTGCCACATCACATTTTGTACTATGCTGTAGTGCCGGCCGGCTACACAGGTGAGTGCAGACTAAGTGCAAACCTCTAGCTGCTGAGCTTGAATGAAGTACTGCGCGTGATGCCTGACCTGAACAGGCAGCAGACATTGTGCTCTGTGCAACATGTACCCTACTTGGAGGCTCATGGGTCTTTATCACCCCAATTATAACTACCCATNNCATGCACCTCCAAGTGCCCTAAACCCTAACCCTAAGTAGCAGTGTAGTGTAGCAAGGTATGGTAAGGTTGATTTGTGATAGGGCCGACGCAGAAAGCAACAGCCTCAGCCAACTTTGGCATTCGACCTAACTTAACCAGG